GACTAGAAAACTACAGAAGAGAATCGAGCTACTTAGCAGTTCTATTATCATAATAAGGATTGAAACAAGATCGGTATCGGAAATAGTGCTCGTTTGTTGCTTGATTGCACAAAGTGTACACATATATGCATAAAATAAACAGATTATATTTTTCAGCCTCTATTTGGCGAAGTTTATAGGTTCTTCGAGTTGACATTAGTAGCAACTAGCACTAGACAGATTATTCTAGAATTGGTAACAAAGGAGCCATAATTACTTTACATGAGGCTAAATTTACCATAAAAAGCTGCTTCGAATTCAACGTTCCATATCATTCATTATACAGATTGATATAGAACGAAAGACAGCCATGATATCAAATAATTTAATAAACACTAGTGAACAAAAGCTCAGTGCAAGTCAATACTACAACCTTTGGCATCATAGAATACTAAAAGGACTTCTACTCAATCAAAACTTCCATTTCCCAGTGCAAATTGCTCTCCTCTTTCCTGTTAAACATACGCTGCTTCATTAAGAACATGATTGGGTAAGCTCAAAAGTAGCTTAAAAGGTGGTTTTTCAAGAAGTCTGCAAAACCACCTTTTAAGCTTACCCAATCATGCTAATAATTCATGTTTCCCTCCATCTGTGAGGTACCTTTTCAGTATACTGCAGGAAGTCTTTTTTTAGGTCATACTCCAGATAACACAAGTTTCAAACCCCAACAGGGGGCAAGTGTCAATGCAAATTTGCACCACACAATATGGATTTATGTGTTAACCATGTGAGATTAGCATAATGCCCAATTGCCCATAACAATCATCAATTAAATTGTACTGTAGCATCATGTTAATATCTTTCCATTTTTTGAGATAATTAATTTTCTCTCTCATTGTCCCTTTTCTGCCATGGGAAAATACATAGATAGAAAAATGAGAATGACATGAACCACTAAAAATTAGTGTGCACTTTGTATTCTAATATGTTTTGCTTATTGCTCTCGTAAATGAGATTGGACTTAATCCCTGATACACACAAGGATTCGTTTCAGCCAAAATCCTGGTTACATTTTTCTCTTATCAAATGCCAAGGTACCGGAATATACCTTTTTCATTTTCTGGAAAAAGGAATCAAGGTTCAAGTGTCTTCTTCAGATGATTTCTGTAGATTATCAACCAGGAGGGTATGTTACATTTTGTTCTCCCCAGAGAAAACTCATGGTTCTTAGTTAACAATTATTGAAGCGTGAGCTCCATTGAACTCATATTGTGAGGATTTCAAACCAAGATAGAGTTCATTCGGAGACAAACTGCTGTATTTCTGTTCTTATCAAATACACGTCTCACTACACAAAAAAAAAAATCGATCTTTTATTTCTTCGATGGTAAAACAGTAGCAGGTTGCACTCGGAATAATTCAAGTCATTCATATCCAAACATATAATCACACAAATTATTTAATTTAAAATTAACATAAAACCTCAATAAAATCAAGCAAAACTTATATACCCAAATGGGAAAAAAAAAAAAAAAAGAA